AAAATCAAAAATTCTAGAGAATGCAGACCATGGAAGAATCATCAGTTACTTGGGGGAAAAGAGGGACAGGAGGGAGGGATTATCAAAGGGCCCTAGAAAATATTTGGAGGCGTGGTTATGCTCCTTATCTTGACTTAATGCTTTCATAAAATTGCCTGTGAACTTTTTTCAAAATTGCACTTCAAAGGTTAATAAATTTGAAATTGTTGACACTCAATTGACTCATCCCTATAGACCATAATATTTTTTTGAGACATAATTCACATTTGCCCTGTTAAAGTTTACATTTCAGCAGTTTTGGTATATTCACAAAGTTGTACAGCCATCACTACTATCTAATTCTAGAACTTTTCATCACCCCTGAAAGAAATCCTGTACCCATTAGTGGTCGCTCCTTTCTTCTCCCCAGTTTCCCCAGCCCTAGGAAACCACCTGTCCATTTTCTGTTTCTATGGATTTGCCTATTTGGGACATTTAATATAAATGGAATCATACAATATATGACTTTTATGACTGACTCACTTACCATAATGTTTTCAAGATTCATCCAGGTTGCAGCATGTAATCAGTACTTCATTCTCTTGTATGGCTGCCCTGTTGTATGGATGTACTACATTTTGTTTATCCACTCATCAGTTGATAGACATTTGCATTGTTTACCCTTTTGAACTATTTTGAATAATGTTGATATGAATATTTGTGTATAAATTTTTGTGAACATATGTTTTCAGTTCTTTTGGACATATAACTAGGAGTGAAATTGCTGGGCCATATTGTAACATTAACTTTTGAAGGAACTGACCATAATATTTTAAGAGGTGCTGATGTGATTGTGGTTAGCTTACAGCAGATTTTGCTAAATGGAAGATATATTGTCCCATCTTTTTTTATATTGAAATATGTAGACATTTCAGCCCACATTTTTTGAAGCATCATCTTTTTACCTCAAATTCAGAGTAACATTTTCAGTTTTTCAAGACAAAATTTGTCAAGTAAACTGTTCTGTGATTCTTTTGAATGTTTCACCAAAACTTTATAATAGTGTTCTATGTTTGTTTTTAACTTATATAAGGCATGGCTTGAATACTCTGTTTTGTCGTATGAGCTATCTTTTCCTCTCCTATTTGTTTAAGTCAGCTCAGAGGTAAATGACCTGAAGCTGTTCTTATCTTTAGGGTCGATTTGGTATAAATCTGTGTGGTATACTTTTTTATCCTGTGCTCTATGGTTAGTGTGCAATATGATTGGGACAAATACATTGACTGTTACTATCCATTTGCATTAATTTGCAGTTTCCAAACAAGTAGCAAAATGCCTAAAACTGATGTTGAAGCTGCTTCTAAGCTTGGGTTCCTTCAAAATTTTTATGTAATAGGAGATGTGATAATTCGTGTAATTATCAGTGCACATATTAATATTATGAGCTTGGTGCTTGATTTTTCTTCTAATCAAAAATTTTGAATATTTAGTTTTTACATTAGTTATAATGAAGATAATGATTGCTTTGAGAGCTCCTTTCTGTGAGCAAACATTGTAGAACTTTATTCGTATAGTGAAGGAATCGTAGATTTCTTCCTGTATGTTACCTAAGTGAGACAGATGATGGAGAACATGGAGAGGGCTGCTCATACTTATTCACTTACTGAAGGCAAGTATAGTTTTGGATTTTTAAATGTTAAGTTTGCTTTGGAATTTTGGGTCAAGAAAAACTGATGTAGAGCTCTTTTCAGACTAGAAACCAGAGAGATCTCTTAACAGATGGAGGCTGTTACTAGAAAACAAAGGGAAATAAGTCTGATATGATAAGAAGTACAAATGGCAGTTGAAATGAAAAGACATTGTTTCACTAGTATTTAAAGAAATCTTACTGATGTTTTTAGTGTGCACTTTTTTTTTTTTGCTCTTTAGATTGAGTATTAGAATTAAAATTTTTTTAAAACAAGGTTGGTAAGAGTGTTAGAGAATGTATGCTGTATACTAGTCAGAGTATAAAATGGTGTAGCCCATTGAGGGTACTTTCCAGAAAGATTTAAAGTGCTTTTACCCAGTGGTTCTATTTCTGTGCTACAGGATGTTCATATGAAAGAGAAAGAATGCTTTGCAGTACATTTTATTGAACTGGTATAACCTTGTACACAAACCAGACCAAGGATATTACACATAAGGAAAGTTACAGGTCAGTTCATTTATGAACATAGATGTAGGAATTCATCCAAACACCAGTGTTTGCCCTGAGATTTCAAGGTTGGGTTAATAGTGAAGGCTAGAAGGCAGTGAGATGACATATTTAAAGTGCTGAAAGGAATAAAACTGCCAACCAGGAATTCTAAATCCAGCAAAACTATCCTTCAAGAATGAAGGGGTCAGGGCGAGGGTATAGCTCAGTGGTAGAGTGCATGCCTAGTACGCCTGAGGTCCTGGGTTCAATCCATTAAAAAAAAATGAATAAACCTAATTACCCCCCCCCCCCAAAAGATTTAAAAAAAGTTGGATGAAACAGTTTAAAAAATTAAATTAAAAAAAATGAAGGAGAAATTAAGACATTCCCAGATAAACAATAGCTGAGGGAATCCATTACTGTATGGTCTATACCATCTATGCAAAAAATGCTGAAGGGAGTCTTTCAGACTCACCGCAGACCTACTGAGTTTACTTTCTGGAGTAGGGCCAAAGAATATGCATTTTAAAGTAAGCCCTCCTGTTGATTCTTATACACAGAAAATAAACAAAAACAAAAACCTCACAATGAGACACCATTTTCTATCCGCAGACTGGTAAGAACTGAAAAACAAAAGTCCTATGATACCAGGTGCTTGCCAGGATTCAGTACAGAGGAGCCTCCTAAACACTCTTGGTGGATGTGTGAATTGGCACAACCACTTTGGAAGACAATTTGGAGTTACCTAGTAAAGCTGAAGATAGATAGACCATATGAAGTTGTACAGACCATTAACAGAGAAATGTTTCTCTCTCTGTAGCAGAAGACATATAATAATGTACATACTTGCTGTTTGTAATGGCACAAAACTGGATACAATCCATATGTTTATTGAGAGAAGAAAGGATTTTTGAGAGTGTGGCATGAAGTGTGTGTGAAAATAAATGCATCAACATATGTGGCATCAAAAAAGCAAGTCCTTTCATAAGGCACGTTTTGTTTATAGGTATGTATGTTTGTAGTAAAGCTATAAAGAGAAGAAAGGAATGATAAAAAATTGAGGGTAGTGGTGACCTCTGGAAGTTGGGGGAAGGGAGAGACACAGGGTTTCAGTGGCTTTTGTCACGTGAACTAAGATGATTTACATGGGAGTGTTTTCTTTTCTTATACTTCATTTATTATGTTATTTTACATGCATCAAATACTATGTTATAAAAATGTTAAAGACTGTATAAAATATAAAACATACATGCAGTTGAAAAGATTGATATGACTTTGTGTGTTCTGAGTCATTCATTGCAAGCCTTCTTTTTTTTTCTTTGTAGCATTTGTCCCTATCTAACATAACAGAGTTTTCCCTTTTTTCTTTGACTTCATGGTATAACAAGCAACGACAAAATAAAAAAATTTTAAAAAGGCAAAAAAAGAGAAACCAACAAAAAATGAAAATAAATTCCCTAACTCTCAAAAAAAAAATCTGGAATTCTGCATATCAAATCAGCATCTGGATAGTGGGTTAAAATTAAGGGTAAGAACTGGTCACTGCTGAGTGAATGGAGGCTGTATTGCATTTTATAGTTTATATTCTGCACTTACATTTTTATAATGTTATGATTGTGTATTCTCTAAAAGGGGAGGAAGCATCTTTGAAAATCAAGAAACAAATTATTATCTGGAAAAATTAACAAAAAAATAACTATTGACAAACCTAAGCAAACTTCTTAATTTTAGGAATTGATGTGACAAGTTATTGGAAGATAGATTGAGACGAGAGATGGTTCTGGAATTAGCTCAGCCTAATGTGCAGTTGGGCTGCTAACCCTTCCTCTGAGTGTTTCTAGAGGAGGCTATTGTTAGTGTGGGTCTCTGGAAGAAAGGATCAGTCTGAAGTGGAGGTGCTTTTGGGATTTTAAGACCTAAGGTCATGTGCTGAGCAGTTTTATGTCCCTGTTATTAAATATACATTAAATAATAAATTTTTGTTTGATTTAAAATGTTAAAACAAAAAGACCAGGATGTGACCAAGGTTATGCACTTGGTTGGATGGAATGAATTAAGTAGTGTTCTATGGAACTCTTGAAGTATCTGATGTACAGATAAATAAAATTTAAATTATTTCAGAGGTGACTTGTTTTTCTCCATTTACTCTGATTAGTAATTCATCGACCAAACCTAAGAAATATCACCCCACTTCCCATATACACTCCTCCCCTAGACTCCCCACCAATATACCCTTTTAGTGATAAAATAAAAGTGTACAACAGAATGGTCTTATCAGACATTCCTGCATTGCTTTGGCACAGCTTTGACACTCCCCTTTTCTGATAAACCTTCTATAAATCGTAAGAAGTGTTATATGAACATATGTCTTCATTTGTGATGATGATGCTTTTTTACAAATGTGTGAATATTTAAATCTTGAATTATTCTATAGGGGAAATGTGGATGCCATTGTGACAAAACACAACGTTGATCTAAATGATTGATTATACTTAGGACAGAAGTTCCTGATCACCTGTGGCTCATGTTTTTCATTTTAGCAAGGGAAACTGGTCAGAATCATGTGGATATGAGCTCAGTGTGAAGGATCCAGCTACTGGCTTTTTGTTTCCGTATGAAGGAAATTAAGTTTCTTGGTATATAAATTTCTTCCCCTACACATGCACTTGAAAGACTTCTCTCCTCCATGAAACTGGAGGAACGTTCACGTCTCTGATTTGGAACCGCTGAATTCTGAAACGTTAAATGTTATGCCTCTCTTTTTTTCAGTACTTCTTCTTCCTGTTTTCTCTTTCCCGTTTCTGAAACCAGTAACATGTGTTTTATTTCTGGTTTTTAATAGTTCTGGGACCATTTGGACCCCACGATGTTTTTCCAAGATTTTAGACCCTTTCTAAGTAGCAGTCTACTGGACCAAGATAACAGAGCCAATGAGAGGGGCCACCAGACACACACCGACTTCTGGGGACCAAGTCGGCCACCTCGGCTGCCAGTGACTCGGAGGTACAGGTCTCGAGGAAGTGCTCGTCCTGAGAGATCCCCAGCTTTTGAAGGGTGAGTGCAAGGTGTTGTTAGTTACATTCTTTTTAAGGGTCGTTTCTATGAAGGACATATTTAATCTAATCTTTATAAGATTGTCATACTTACTACATTTGTGGACAAGATGGAGACATATAGACAGGATGAAAATGAAGCCAAATTGAATGTCTGTACTCAACCAGTACCAGCTAATGAGTGATGATAAACTGAAGGACAGCAAAACTAACGATACAGGTCTCTGGTTGACCTTTTCATTAATATCTCGGATATTAGGTGATATGTTTATCAAAATTTCAGAAGGTACTGAGATGAGGTAGCCTTTCTTTTTTTCAAAGGAACTCCATTAGCTCATGTTCCTGACCCATTCCTTACCTATTTCTCCAGGGATTTTGTTTCATCCATTTTCTTCTGTCTGCTCCCTTTTCTCCATTTACTGCTTCCTGCGTTGTTCCCCCCACACCTCCATACTCAGTGTGTACTTTAAAATCTTTATTATATGGGTCCATCTGAATGAACTCTCCATCTGGGAGGCTGGCATCTTGCTTGTACGTTAGCACCAAGATTTGGCCCCACCCAACAGCCTTTAGGCTTCAGAGCTGGGACACCCCAGCCCAAACAGCTAATTAGGTAGGGACACATCCCCACCCATCAGCAGACACTGCCTAAGGCCGAGTCCACAGCTGCCTCTAGACATGCCCCTAGACACATTTCTGCCCACCGGAGGGCCAGGACCCAGCTCTACCCACCAGTGGGCAGGCCCCACCCCTCCCACCAGGAAGCCTGCGCCAACCTCTAGACCAGCCTCACACACCAGGGAAGCAGACGTCAGAAGCTAGAAAACTGATCTCACAACCTGTAAAACAAGTCCTCAAACACAGGCCAGAATCTGCCCTGGGACCAGCAGGCCATAGGCCCTGTGTGACGAGAGGGGAGTACACTGCAGGGTCACATAGGACATCTCCTGCAGAGGGCCACTTCTCCAAGGTTGAGAAACAACTAACCTACACAAAAATACAAATAGAAATTTAGACAGAATGAGGTGGCAGAGGAACATGTTCCAGGCAAAGGCACAAGATAAAATCCCAGAAGAAGAAATAAGTGATGAGGAGACAGGCAATCTACATGAGAAAAGAGTTCAGAGTGGTGACTGTGAGGATGATCAGAGAACTCAGGAGAGAGTGCATGCACAGAGCAAAGAGTTAGAACATGTAAAGAACACCCAGACTGAGCTGAAGAATACAGTTGCTGAAATGAATAATACGCTGGAAGGGACCAAGAATGGACCAAATGAGGCAGAAGTGAGCTAGAAGACAGAATAGTGGAAATCACTACCACAGAACAGAAAAAGGAATGAAAAGAAATAAGAGGCAGTTTACCTGTCCCATAATTTGAAGGAAAGAAAATCTTTCTCAGTGCCCCACTCCCACCTCTACACCTCCTGCCTAGAAAATTCCATTCACTGGGCATTGCGTCACACGCTCCCCACCCCTAGCTGTAAAGAAAGCTGGGAGAGTATGGATTTAGCTTTTCTGTCCTTTGTAGTAGGAGATGGCAAGGGAGGAGGGTGTTGAGAATGGATTTGGGGTCGGCCAGCCAGTGTCTGCTAATTAGCTATTTCATTAGCTACTTCGGCTGAAAGAATATTTGGCATGTTATTTCAGATTAATTGTAGCATAGGGTTAATATTTATTTTATATTAAACAATGTTTCTACAATCTTTTGAAGATTTTGATCCTATCACTTGTAAAATATATTAGCCATGGGCACCCTACCTTCTTGTGTTGTGTATGTGTGAGTGTCATAAACTCAGTGATTTTGGCTCTAAATCATGTTTTCTACATTTTAGTCATTTAAGTACTGTCTTGATGAATTTTTCCCTCTCTATCATCATTATTATTATTTAATGTTTTTTAGACCTGTTTTTTTTTTACCTTATTTAAACATACTGTGAAAAGAAGCTTCATATTATTACCTGTGTAAACCTTTAGTATATAGTGATTAGTTGGGTTTTTTTTCCTCCACTCAAGTAGAGACCGTCTCCTGCTATAGGATCAGAAAATGCCAGATCGTACTTTCCAAGGCTCTTTGACAGGTAGGGCAAAGGCATGTAACCCTTATTACCAGTGGAACCTAAAGGGTCTACTGGACTTCTGGAAAAAATTTCCCTTTCTTATTAAAAAATAAAAATCTGAGGAGAATCCCACCTCTTTACTTACTGAGTCTTAGAGCTGCTATAGCCATCTTGTAACCATGTGTGGAAGACACAGCTGACACACTGAAAGGGGCAGAGCAGAAGGATGCAGAGTCGTGTTTCATTGAGTTGCTATACCAAACTTGGGACTGTTTGCCTCTAGACTATTTATTAATTAAGGCAAATAAATGTCCTTGCAGTTTAAGTCATTTTTAATCAAGTATCTGCTATTTGCAGCTGAATACATCTTTTAATTCTTATACATTACGTAGATGGAAAACAGTAGTGGAAAGTAACTGTAAAAATAAATACATTAAAAATGAAGTACCATTATTAAATTTTAAAAACAAAATAAAACATTTTGATTTAAAATAAACATTGATAAAATCAAAGTGCCTTTTGGTCCCCAAAGTAGGCTCCTAATTCTTCAACTTCATTCCACACCTCTTCGCCCCTTAGTCTCTTTACTGTCTTCAGTCTAGCCGTCCTGGCCTTGTAGTCGCCCACAGTTGCTCTGTTCCCTTCAACCACAGACCTTTGCACAGTTTGGTTTCCTGTCTAGATTGCTGGGATGTTCTGCCTCCAGCCTTACTTCCGCCCCTTCCTTAGGTTAACTCAGACCTAGCCCTTAGGTATCATCAGCTCAAGGGATATCACCTCCTCTGGGAAGCCTTTTCTGACACTGTTACTAGGTCCCTGTGCACATCCTCACCGAGCTCTTGTACTTTGTAACACTGGTCACAAAAGCAGTTTTATGTTTTGTATTGTTACTTAATGTCTTTCTTCTCCACTAGACTAAGTTCCAAGAAGGCAGGGACCATTATTCCTTCAGAGCTTAACATAATGCCTGGCACATAGTACATCCTGAAATTCTTAATGACTGGCTGAATGAATGAAACATTGTCTATAATTTAGAACTGTATTAGCGAATTCATGCATTTCCTATTGAATGCAGCTTTTGCTGCTCTAAACTTTACAATTTTGTCATGTAGGCTGTATTAAATTGGATTCCAGTTATTGCTCGAACAACACTGGAGGAATAGAGATGAACTAAAGTTACTGACCATTTCCTCAGGCCATTGAATGTTATGGGGAGGTTTTGAGATTCTGGATTCTCCAGCTCTCCAGATCCTCAATGATACCATTTTCTTGGTCTCTGACTTTGACATTAGAATTTTGGCAGGCTTTTGAATTAAAACAAATGTATAACCATTGAATTTGTTTTTAAAATGTTCTGTTACGTGAAATCACCTCATGGTCATACACCTATCTTGGAAAACACTGCTCTGACATTTTCATTCTAGGTACACATTTAGGAAGAAAGTAGCCAACCATTAGAGATGTATAAAATGTATTCAAAAATTTCTTTCTTATGTTTATATGGAAAATAAAGTGTCCAGTGCATGTACCTGTGTTTATACCTGTTGAAGTTTTTCTCACAGTTCCATGAGGGCAGAGACAATATCTAGTTAGATATTTTTAATACCTAATTTTCTTCATATAACCGTGTATTTTGTCCATCTTTCCATATCATTTTTTATAGATCTGCCAGATCTGTCACATGAATAGAATTCCATCTTATGAATGTACAATAATTAATTTAGACAGTTCTCTAATGAGGACCATTAGAGATCTTTTAGATTTCTTTTCATCATTATAAACCATAATGCATCGAGCAGTCCTTATTTACGATTTTTTGTATGTCTATAAAAGTATGTCTTTCCATATTTTCCATTCTTTTTTCTTTGTACTTGAAGTTTGGACATTTTCTATTGACCCACCTTTGGTGTTGTTAATCTTGTTTTCTGCTGTTAAACCTATCAAATGAATTCCTTATTTCCGATACAGTATTTTTCATTTATAAAATGTCAGTTTGATTGCCATATGGATTCAAATCCTGGGGTGAAATTCTCCACCTTTATTTGTAGATATTAGTCATAGATAATTTGAAGTTCTTTTTTGTAACTTCAGTATCTGGATCACCTCTGGGTCTGTTCTCTTTGTCTGTCTTTTCCTTTTGGCTTTTGGTCATTGATCTTGGGGTTTGGCATGTGCATTTTTGGTTGAATGTACGTAGTTTGTATAACAAATGCTAGAGGCTCCAGGCAGTGTGACTCTTCTCCAGAGCGGGTTCCCCTTTCCTTCCTGGGCGCACAGAATGGTCGGTGGTCGCCATGCTTTTCAGCACCGGGTCAAGTCAGGGCTGGGTCACAGGCCTGGTGAGCATTGTCTCATTAGGGTTTACCCCTGGTCCTCCAGAGGTTTCAGTTCAGAGCTTGATGAATTGTTCGGAGCCTTTCTTACAGTGTAGGTCCTGTATTCTAACTTTGGTTTCATGAGAGTGCTGTTTAAGTCTCTGCTCTGTTTTTCAAAGTTTTCCATTTAAGTTCTTTATTTGCTGTCCTATGTAGTCCCATATTTAGTAAATGCTCTGAAGGGAAAATTGCTTTGTGCTTGAGGCCTCCTGATTCTTTGCCAGGTCTGGGTTCGCTGTCTCCTTCACAGTGGTCCTCCATTGCAGCTTTCACGGGATTCTCAGCCTTCTGCTCTTGCCTAGCATCAGCAAACACAGTTAGCGAGTCAGCTCCTTCTCTAGGGTCTTAACACCTCAATCTGTCGTTGTCTCAGCAGCTCTCCTCTGCCCTCAAACCAATTACCTGGATTTTCTAAGTACCTGGATTTTCTAAGTTCTAGGTGTTAATACTGGTTTGCCACTAACTGCTGTATCTCACTTGAGGGTGAACGTCTATGGAAATGTGTCTGTAGGATGAAATTCCAGGAGAGAAAGGTTATGACCATTTGAAAATTGATACTGTTAAATTGCCCTTCTGAAAGGCTGTAACTGTTACAGTCTCACCAAGAATATTTGAAAGTGTGTCAAACATCTTTATCAAACTAGATGTTCTCAGTCTTTATCTTTCTTAATCTGATAGATAAAGACATGCTAGTTATTTTTGTTTTAATTTGTGTATCTTTGATTTTTCACTTGATTAAACTTATTTTCATGTCATTATTTGATACTAATATTTCCTCTGTGATTTGTTTATTAATATCCTTTGACCAGTTTTCCTATTATGAAGTTAAAAAATTATTTTATAGGAGTTCTGTATGTAGCAAGGATATTAATCTTCTATATATGTTGCAAATACAAATTTCTTTCTATTCTGTCCTTTGTCTTGTCCTTGGTAATTTTGTTGTATAGATGTTTTTAATTTGTAGGATATCAAATCTTTCAATCTTTTAGATTTCTCACCATGCTTAAGGAGTCTCTCCTTATTCCAAGATTTAAAAAAATTATTCCTATATTTTCTTCTAGTCCTTACTTTATCTGATATTATTTGGTTATGTATTTTGTTACAGGCAATAGAAGTCCAATTTAATATAACTTGAAAAAATAGTGTGATGATTCATATAAGTCATGTGGTTCTTGGCTATATCAGACACATCTCCCCTTTGTAACAACTTTATTATAATGTCATCTCTTACTGTCCTGATTCAGAGTTCTTGATATAACCTATAAAACATAGTTAAAATATGCATGCACGTCTATTATTATTTTCCAACCAATATAAAAGAGAAATAAAAGGATAGTAATAGATAAAAATATAATATGTTTTGATTTATAAATGCTTGGTTGTGACTATTTTGGGAGACAAAGTGAAATATCAGATGCTTGTCTCTGTGGAGAATCACTAAGAAAGTGATAGTGCCTTTCTGTCTGGCAGCAGCCATCAGGTAAGCCAAGGTGGGTGCTTACAAGTACATCCAGGAGCTATGGAGGAAGAAGCGGTCGATGCAATGCACTTCCTTCTCAGGGTGCAGTACTGCCAGCTCTCTGCACTGCGCAGGGCTGCCTGCCTCACTTGGCTCAGCAAAGTACATAGACTGGGATACAAGGCCACGCGAGATTATGTCATATATTGGATTCATGTGCACCTCAGTGGCTGTAAACACCCGTTTCCTAGGGGTGCAGCCTGTGGCAAGCCTGTGCATCATGGTGTTAACCAGTGACGGTTTGCTTGAAGGCTTCAGTCTATTGCAGAGGAGCATGCTGGATGCCACTGTGTGACGGAGAGTCTCCACGCGCGAAAGAATGAAACTGAACCCATATCTTACTCCGTACACAAAAATTAACTCAAAATGGAGTAAAGGCTTGTGCATAAGACCCTGAAACCATAAAACCCCTAGAAGAAAAGAGGCAGTAAGCTCCTTGACATCAGTCTTGTTGATGCTATTTGGACCTGACTCTGAAAGCAAAGGCAGGAAAAACAAAAATAACAAGTGGGACTACGTCAGACTGTAAAAAGCTTCTGCCTGGCAAAGGGAACCATCAACAAGATGAGAAGACAACCTACTGAATGGGAAAAACTTTTTGCAAATCATCTGTTTTACAAGGTGTTAATATCCAAATACATAAAGAACTTATACAATATATTGGCAAAAAAACAAGCAATCTGATTTTAAAATGGGCAAAATATCTAAGTAGATGTTTTTTCCAAAGAAGACATACAAATGACCAAGAAGTACATGAAAAGATACTCAACATCACTAATCATCAAGGAAATACAAATCAAAACCACGAGATACCGTCTCACACCTGTTAGAATGGCTGCTGTCCGAAAGACAAGAAATAGCAAGTGGTGGTGAGGATGTGGAGAGAAGGGAGCAAACCCTTGTGCACTGTTGGTGGGGATGTAGCCACTATGGAAAACATTACGGAGTTTCCTCAAAACCATATGATCCAGCAATTCCATGTCTGTATGTTTATCTGAAGAGAACAAAACACTAATTTGAAAAGATTTGCACTGCCATGATCATTGCAGTTTTGTTTACCTAGCCAAGACATGGAAACAACCTAAGTGTCCATTGATGGATGAATGGATAAAGAAAATGTGGTGTGTACACACACACACACACACACACACAGAGTGAGATATTATTCAGCCATAAAAAAGAGTGGAATCTTGCCATTTGTGGCAATGTGGACCTTGAGGGCATTATGTTAAGTGAAAAAAGTCAGACAGAAAAATAAATACTGTATGATCTCATTTATATGTGAATCTTAAATAACAAAAAAAAAACTCTAAATACAGAGAACAGATTTGTGGTTGCCGAAGGCAGTGGGTGAGGGATGGGTGAAATGGATAAAGGGGGTCAAAAGATACAAATTTCCAGTTATAAATAATCGGGATGTAATGTATAACACGGTAACTATCACCAGGGAAATGCAAATCAAAAGCACAATGAGATTATAGCTCTTTACAGTTAATTATAGTTCATTACAGTATTACAGTTTTAATGCTCTTGTGTTTTTGAAAGTTGCTAAGAGTAGATCTTAAAAGTTCACAAGAACATAAAATTTTGTAACTATGTATTATGATGAATGTTAATTAGTCTTACTGTGGCGATCATTTGCAATGTATACAAACATCAAATCATGTCGTATGCCTGAAAAAATATAATGTATATGTCAATTATAATTTTTTAAAAAATGTCAGTCAGTAAATCCAAGCTACACCCAAGGGAGGCGTATAAAATTACTTGTGGGCATATTTTAAACAAACACAGAATGTAGTTGGCTATTCTTGAACTTTTTAAAAATGGCCCTTTAAATAACATCTTATACAATGTGTATAACATAAAAATGGAAGTGCCCTTGTTACGGGGAGGTGGGCCCAGAATCCCGCTGGCTTAGCATCCCTTTCAGCCTGTCATCTTGCTACCAGCTACCCAAGGATCATAGTTGGAAAACTAACCATACAGTCAGATTCCTTTCCAGCCTAATTCATAAAAATCTAATACATGTAATAGCAGAGCTCAGGAAGACAGCCGTCATTAGCAAAGGAGCACTCTCCCGTGTAGCAGACTGATTGTATAATAGTGAAAAACCATTGTGTTTTGGGGAAGGAACTGGTGATCATGCAGCCATGGATATCTATAGAGCACTTCCATTGGTCTGTTTTCTTATCTAACTTTTTTTCCTTCAACAGAATACTACAACAGATCTTTGCAGGATTCTTTGCAAATCCTGCAATTCCTGGATCCCCGTACCCTTTTTCTTGGTAAGTAACTAATTGCCTCCTGTCTTAGTCTCCTGGAGTAGTGTGATTTTAGGTACTTTAGTATCTGTGCCATAGTGAGAAAGAGAAAGACCTGCACAGGTGAGTATGTAAGTGTGACTGACAGGCTCGTAAAGACTGCCAGTATCAGCTGAGCCCATGCTTAGTCAGAACGGAGTTTTTATTATTGGACTCACGAGGGCCGTCCTGGTCCCACCGGATGCCTGGGCACTGGACGTGTCTGATTCTGTTCGTATTCAGGTCTGAGGATGGTGTTGAGGTAGAGAATGAGACGGTCCCTGCCAGGCTTGGTACCAGATTTGTGTGTTTCTCCTCTAGATCACACAGGAAGGTTTTATTCCTTGAGAATTTCTGAAATGGAAAACCTGCTGCTTAACTTCCTTTTTTCAAAGTAAGAAGGTTTTTCAGAAAAAACAAAAGGCTTTAATTCAGTATCAAAGTGGCACTTATGAATGGTAGAGGTTAAAGATGGAATTTCCTCTTGTCTAGACAATTATTTGCTACTTCTGACTCTGCCCCACAAGGCTTCTTTGCTCAGAAGGACTTCAGTCCTCTCACACAGTTACCCTATTTTCCAGCCTCTGGTGTCTTTAAACACATTCCAGCCAAAGAGTCTGGATAGCTGTCATCCAGGTAGTGGAACCAGCAGCTCCAGGAACAGGTGGTGCCAAGTCCCTTTTGTAATTGCTCTGAGTTGTGATTCAGAGAGACTGCTGTGGCTGCTTCTCTGCTTGAAAGCTCTTCATTGTCCAGGACCACAGGCGGCCTCTTAGAATGAGGGAAGTCTGCTGTCGATTTTAGCCAGTCACAAAGGGAAAACTCTCCTTAAAAAGCGGCTCCATCTATGTTTAATGTAAGTGGGCCCAGAGAAGACAAACTTTTCTTAACCAATAGGCAACGAGTCACTCTCTTTGCTCTGGTGTGTTTTGTGATATTTTAGGTAGCTTCACATTTTTATGTTTCATTCAGTTAAGTAAAAATTCCTAGAGAATGAGAGACTACCTCTGGATAATCTGTTTGACCTTGAAGTTACTGAGAAATTTTTGGCCACTTGATTCTAGAGAACTAGTGACTTTCCAGCTCTGAGAGAGCAGGATCCCTCTGCCAGTTTTTTCTGTGGTGTAAGGCGGGGAGCCTGGTCACTCCATCTAATGCTGTCTGTCTCATCTCACGTATAGGAGCGGGATGCTGCACTCCAACCCTGGGGACTATGCCTGGGGTCAGACAGGGCTTGATGCCATTGTAACCCAGGTGAGGAGCTGCCTTTTGAGGGTGTCTGTTCAGTGTGTCTCATGGTTCCACAGGCTTCCTGCTTTCCTTCTGCTACTTTCTGAAATGGCAGTCACTCTGCTTTCGCTAATATTTAGAGCTTGTGGGTTTCCATTTTACTAAAGGGATAAGTGGTTATGGGTTTAGCTCAGCATCCATGTATTTTCTTGGTCCTAGGAGCTTTCTAGAAGATGGCTTCAACCCCAGAGGAAGAAAAGACTTCTATAACAAACAGTATCTTGTATTTTTGGCCTCTTGTTCAGTCCTGTGAGGATCCTATTAACAAGTACTTCACAAAAAAGAAGGGTCTCCCCACATGCTGAAGCAGGGATTTCTGCTGGATGGAGCAAAGTAGGGGAAGGAAGCAGAGAAAAAGGTGTTCCCATGCCGTGTCTGATTGCTTCCACTTGTTTATGTTTATCTTAATTGAGTTGGTTTTCCATTTCCCTTGTGGACTGCTGAGCATAGAGAGCATGTCTTTATATCCAAGACTCATAGGCAGTCGTTTAGCTGTTTCTTGGCTTACCTTGTGCTGCTTTCCATACTCCCACCCTTTTATTCCATTTGGCAGAGTGAAGTTTTTGAATTGGCTAAGTATAACTTTTCATTAAGCTGTAGTTTTATTCGTGACATCACAACCCTTTTGCTGCCTCTGAAGTTGCTTTATGCCCAAAGGTGGGCCTTTCAATGATGAATCTGTCTGTAGTCTTATGCTGATGTCACCTGGAAATTGTAAAGCAATTAGGGGTGTTCTGGCAGCAGGAAAGGGCAAGCCCAGGCCTTCCAGAGCCTTGCAGAAGTAAGAGCGACTAACATTTCTTCATGTCTGCACTGTTTGTCCTCAGCTGGAGCAGCTCCCTCCCTAGGGATAGTTAGACAGCTACTACTTTTTCTCTTTATTTATTAATTCTTTTTTTCTTCCTTTTTTTTTTTGTAGCTTTTAGGACAACTGGAAAACACAGGCCCCCCTCCAGCTGACAAGGAAAAGATTACATCTCTTCCAACAGTGACAGTAACTCAGGAACAAGTTGGTAGGTTCATTTTCATACATATTGCCATCTTCTTATCTCTTCAGAATGTTTGCCCCTTCTTGATACCAGAGATCTTCAAGTGAAGCTGTAGCACTCCTCAAGTCCCTGCATGGGTGCCAGATCTGGAAGGTACCTATCCTTTCTTTAGGGTTAGTTAACAGGCAACTCCTGAGCAATTGTCTTGTGCTTTTTCTAAGTCCCGTGCAGGAAATAAAGAGGTACAAAGACATGTAAGGCTTGATTTCTTGAAGAACTTACTAGGGGGAGCAAAACTCACCAGATGATTAGATAACAGTTTAAAAAGTGGTGTTGAGCAGATGATACTGACTTCGGGGAAAGAGGAAGAGAAAAAATGGGAGGCTGGGAATTTGTTTCACATCTGCTTTATACTCGAGTGCATTAGACATAGATGTTATTTTATTTATAAGCACTGAAGGAACTTAGTGATATGAGAGATTATTTTGGACTGGGAGTTTTTCCCCCACAATTCCAATTTCGAGTCAGAAGACTTTAAAGACAGGGTGGGCCATCTTAGAAAGGGCATTTTATTTATGGAAAAGTATGAACCAGTATAAGAATGTCAGCATGAACATGGTGCCTGAATCAGGTAGAAGGAGAGTGACCTCACTAGACTTGAAATAGAATCTGATTCGGGGAGTAGTGGGAGGTATGACTGGAGGGAAAGGGTGGGTCCTTGTTATAGAGGACCTTGAAACTGGCAGAGTGGTTGGGGCAGGATATTTTAGGTAGTAGGTAAGTTTGGTAGTTGTAGACACTTACATTCCCTCATTCTGAGGGAGGAATGAGGGAATGTAAGTGTCTACACGGAAGATTAGTTTGGGAAGATAGTGTCAAATAGATTGGAAGTGGGAGAAAGGAGAAATAGTATAAGGGGCTGTTGCAGCATTTGATGGTTCAGGTGATGGGGTCAGTGCTAACAGAAAGGAAAGGGTAGACTCAGATCATTTTGAAGTAAAGCTTTCATCACTGACTACATTATGAGATGAAGGAGAGGAAAGAGTCAAAGATCATTCTTAGATTTTGCAGCTCTGTAACTATGGAGGTGGTGCTGACACCATCGCCGATGGGGGAATTGTGAGTGGGCCTTGGTTCGGGTAAGGAGGTAATGTGACGTTTTTAATTTTGAATTTATTGATTTTGAGGGGAAATTAGCTGGTAGCAAAATGTAGGCTATATTGGGAAGGCCTTGAGTCAAGGATGGTACCTGAGAGGCTGTTACAGTAGACTAGGCAAGAGAGGTAAAAGCGAGAATTAGGGTGGAGGTGGGGGTGGGGTGGGGAGTGAATCTGTTAAGTGGTGTTCTTACTCCAGATGCCCTGAGTGCTGTGGAGCATGTACCATACGTAGCCCAGCTGCTGGAGAGAGAGACTGCTAGCTGGTATTATTAGCCAGATTTGGGAAAATTGGTATTTGCTGCCTGGTTTTCCCAGTTTACTTTGTAGCCCTTTCCTCTCAGAGAAGAGGGCTTCCTGTCTCTGGGCCTGGAGTCTTGGCTGCCCTTGGGCCTTGCAGTTCTGTGGCGCCGCCTCCTGGTAAAGCTTTCAATGAACAAATTGTACAAAAGGCTTCAGGGTAACCGTGATGAAGAGGGTGTGCAGTGTGGAAGGCAGCAGGGCAGACGTCACTTGAGACACTGAATGCGAGCTGTTAACACTGCTGAGGTGAGGCCCGCTGGTTGCGGTGGGCAGATTGTCAGTGTTTTCTAAGTAGAAACTGCCAGAAGGCTATCACACATTTGGGAAGATGTCTTTCCTGTTTTACTTAACAGATCATCTAAGCCCCAGTTCTTCTGACTCTTTACATTGAGAAGTGGGCCTTGTATAGTTCCCGTCCAGGCCCTATTGGAATAGGCCCATTCATCAGCCCTCCTTCTGACATCCCTGTCTGCTACCACTTCTATCCCCATTTTGAAATGAAGTTCATGCTTCCTGTCTGCCTCCGCCTCTGATGCACTTTGTCTTTTCTTCGTGCATTCCTCTGGTGGGTAAAGACGTTGGGCTAGTTTTTTCTTCCTTGTTTTCACTTGTTTACCTTAAAAGGCATTTTCTCCTCCGACAGATATGGGTTTAGAGTGTCCAGTATGCAAAGAGGACTACACAGTTGAGGAAGAAGTCCGGCAGCTACCCTGCAACCACTTCTTCCACAGCAGCTGTATTGTGCCATGGTTAGAACTGGTAAGTACAGACAGCTCCCATCTGTGATGGGGCGGCTGTGCCGGTCACATCTTCTTTAGGGGATGGCTCACAGTAAGGGTGTAATTAACAGTGAAGGAAGAGTCAGGCAGATCAGATGTTAGCACCTGGCTAACTCCTGGTGGCACCGTTACTGTTTTTGAGATTATCTAAAATTTTGGAGCTTCTCTGACCAGGGGTGAGCAGACTACAGCCTACAGGTCTCTGTAGCCTGCCACCTGTTTTTGTAAATGAAGTTTTATTGGAACACAGCTACACTCATTTGTTTACAGGTTGTCTGTGGCTACTTTTGTGCTACGTCAGCAGAGTTGAATAGATGTGACATAGGCAGCATGGCTTGCAGAGTCTAAAATATTTACTACCTGTTCCTTTACAGAAAAAGTTTGTTGACCCCTGCTCTAGAGACCATCTCAGGTCACTGTTTCTGGTTAGTTCTGTTTAGTGGTATGTGTTAGCTGTTGTTAAGCTGCTGACCTAGAATTCTTTGTTGGTTCTGTTGAAAGTTCTCTTTGGAAGATATCTTGGTGTTACACCTTGGAGTCCATTGTGCAGTCTGTGAGAGTGCCTGTGCTTTTTATTTTTCTGCCTGCCAACTCTTGGGGTTTCTTAAGGGTTTAGTACTTCTAGCTTCTCAGGTCAGGCTGTTTACATGGACTGATACCTTTCTGTTTCAGCATGACACATGTCCTGTATGTCGGAAGAGCTTAAATGGTGAGGACTCTACTCGGCAAACCCAGAGCTCTGAGGCCTCTGCGAGCAACAGATTTAGCAGTGACAGCCAGCTACATGACCGATGGACTTTCTGAAGCTGAAGACTGCATCTGAGCCAGGGCTGTGGTAGACTTCTTATCATGGCTGTTAATTGTATCAAAACAAACAAAAAAAATAGTAGGTGGATTTAGGAGTCACTTAAGAAACCCTAACCCATAATATTAATGCAATGAGTGTTTTTCTTCTCTAAATTTAAAGTTAGTATCTACAGATGGTATTGTATCTACAACCAAATGCCCCTTATTCCTGAATTCAGAGTGATAATTTTATAAGTGTGAAACCTAATTATGTGGATTTCCCCCACCAGAATAGAATCAGTTCCTTAACGTCTAGCTAGGGTCCTGCTCCTGCTGTCATGTTACCTTGTGATGGATGTTTCCAGTCTCTACCCTACCATTATTGTATTTTACTGTAAGTACAGTGGAACCAGAGCCCTGAAGTCCTGCTGATACAAAGTCCTGTTTTAACTGTACAAAAGCATCTACTCTTGGCCACATTAGCCATGAATGAGGTCAGATTAATTCAGGAATTTGGGACTAATGCTTTTGTTTTTTCTTGAATCCTCAGAGAGCAAATCAAAGAAAAATCACAGTGGGAAAGAGAAAGTGGCTTATCATTGTACTCTTTGGTTTTCTCATTTTTATTTTTAAAGAGTACTTCACAAGATGCAGCTTCTGCAGAAACCTACATGACATGTCTTAGAAGTCTTATGTTGGTGGGAATCTGAATCTGGTTCCTTTTTGGGAATGAGTTTAGCAGCATATAGGCACAGAAAGACAGACATTTGAAATATTTGGTTCTGAGGTTTTTTTAATGATCCCCAGTTCACTGTTTACTGTCTTTTGTCCTGGGGACCTTAAAATAATTCCCCTCAGAAATAGAATTACTTCATTACTGCTTCTGTGGCCAATTCATTGTTTTCAGTAATTCATTGATCATCAGGAGTTGAGATTTTACATTGTCTCATTTTAATTTTTTAAGCCGTTTTATCATCTCTGAAACCTTTCTGTTCTGCTTGGTTTTGGCTGTACCTGGAGTCAGGCTGTTCATTGTGATCATGCCCAACAACCTGGCCGAGGAAAGGTAGACCTTTTTTTTTTTTTCATCTTAACAGTGTCCCATGCACATGCACATGCTCTTTGGCACATTTAAGTGTTTAAAGTTGAATAAATGAAGACGATTAAGAATGTTGTTGGAACTTCAGAGTCTCAAAAATAAATGACGGGGATATGTAACCACCGTTGGTGCACCAGAAAAGGGTGACAGAGGGGCACCGTTTGTACGGTCATATCAGCCATTCATGGTTTGGAATGGTCAGAACAAGAAGGCTACTCTTTGGTGAGTCTCGTTCTTGGCTAAGGAACATTTCCTCAGTTTTGGTTGACTGTCATTCACTGGTTTTGGGGGGTAAGGGGCAGAGTTAGAGATATCTTTATACTTTGGTAGAAGATAGAGGACTAAGGGAGGGAAGAGAGAAAGTGAGAAAGTTTAATTTAATTGCTGAATTAATAGCCTGCCTCTCAAAGTTGTGACCATAGGGTATGATTCACACTGGCCCAGAGACAATAAAAGATGTTCCCTCGTGTGCCTCTTATGTTACACCTCTGTAGAGAGCGTTTGTTTGGAGAATGTGAACTATTGACTGTGGCTGTTGAAATATAGCCTGGAAATACACATTGATTTTGCATGGGGAGGGGTGAAGAGCCTGCGGGGAGGTGAGAGGTATGTTATGAATATTTGATGGCGACGACTTAGATGGAGAAGGCTATGCTGAAGTTGGAGCACATTGCAGTTTTCAAGTAGAATAGTATCAGCTGTCTCAGAAAAACTATTACAGCCTGGAAATTTGTGTCTGCCAGCTGGTATCTGGAGATGCCAGGACAGGTGGTTGTATCTTTACTTACAGCTGGAGCACTAGGAAGGATCTGAGTGGCTTCACAGAGGGATACAAACAGTGGATATCTGGATAGTGCTGTAACTTTTCAAAGTACACAGTAGCAAGTGGCATCAGTTTGAGTTACCTGCTGTTTTCTTCACTTGTTTTGCTCTGTGAGATGGAGGACATGAGTCTCGGGGTGCTGTTTTTGAGACCTCCTACTTAATGAATCTGTAGTGTTTCTTGAAGCATTTCAGACTTCGAGGTTAATTGGGTAAGGAGTACATTTGTCAGGGTTCTTCAGAGAAGCAGAACCAATAAGAAGTGTGTATGTATAAAGAGGTTTATTGTAAGGAACTGGCTCACATGATTATGGAGGCTAAGAAGTCCCAAGATCTGCAATCAGCCAGCCAGCCAAATGACGATGAGGTTCTAGTCCAATTCCAGAGGTGTGAGCGCTAGGAAAGCCCATGGTGTAAGTTCTAATCCAAAGGTCAGAAAACCCAGTGCTTCAGTTTGAGTTCAAAGGCAGGAAAAGACGGATGTCCCAACTCAAGCAGTCAGGCAGAATGAGTTCTCTCTTGCTAGCAAGTATCAGCCCTCTTGTTCTATTCAGGTCTTCAACTGATTAGATGAAGCCCACCCACATTAGGGAGGGCAATCTGTTTTACTCAGCCTACTGATTCAGATGTTAAACTTATCCAAAAAAAACCCTCACAGATACACCCAGAATAATGTTTGACCAAATATCTGGGTACCCCTTAGCCCAATCAAGTTGACATATAAAATTAACCATCACAAAGAGGAAAAGTAGAAATGATGCACACAGCAGAGTGATCGTCATCCCACTTAAGTTTTGCCAAGTAAACAGTGTGTCTTTATGAGAAATGTCGGCCTTGCTTAGCTAGGATTAAACAGTAGAAGAAATGTTTATGGGATAAAGACCAATTTGCTGTATGCATCATATCTGTTTTTCCTTCTTAACCTAAATTAACCCGGATGTCTGAGATGCCTCCTATTCTAGGAAGAAATATTGAAGATTGATTGGTTTAACACCAGAACACGACTGGAGCTGAAAGTTTATCTCTAGGAACGCCTTGCTCTTATGTGTTTGAAACACAGTTTAGATATAGCACCCAAGGCAGGGGGCTACATAACCCAGACTTTCAGGTGTTCTTTCCTTTATAACTGGAAGGCTTACAGACTCAGGAAACTGAAGCCTTACTGGGAGTCAAGGGGGAGAGGATTCCGTTCTCCCTCATTGTCGGCGAGAACAGAAGACAGTTGCAATTTCAGATCTTGGGCCTTTAGACTTGAGACCTTTATATTCATACTAAAGGACTACCTTTGAGTTCTGTGCAGAGATAAACAGATTGTTTTCTTATTCATGAATGTCTTTTCTTAATGTTCCTTTTGTCCACTATGTTTGAAATAAGCGGGAATAACTTTGCTAGCACGTAATGAGGAGAGACTTCCTGGTAGACTTGAAAGTTGAGAGATTATATAGGCAACTCCTTGCTGACCTCCAAGGAATGACTGCTTCTTGGGTAGTTTCAACAGGAGTCGGTCTAGCCCATTGTCATGTGGACTGGTGCTGGCTGGACAGGACTGGGCGGCAGGAAGGGCCACAGCTACGAACGTTTGGTTGGTATCGCCAGCATCTTTGAAGTTCCTAAGCTAATGAATTGGGTGGGAGCAGAGTGAAGGAATAATCCTGGCATTAAAAATTAATGTTCCCTCAGAGTTCCTGTTGCTAGTTCTCTGAAGAATTGGGAAACATGGAGAACCCAGAACGGCATTTTGGTCCTGTTGCTATAGCTCCTTGATTCTTTGCTCATAGCATTTCAATTTAGAAGAAAAAAGATTTATTCTAGGTGGAAGATATGGAAATGGCTATAATTTAAATAACTTTCTTAGTTTATTATAAATTTTAATTGTCAGCATTTGCTTCATAACAACTGAACAAGTGTTTGTTAAATGTTTTCCTTGATCAGTACTCTCTCTGGTCAAATAATTAGTTCTCAAGTTAAAGGGAAGAATTAAGTTTTTTCCCCCAACAAGTCTCACTTGGATTAAATAGTTATTAGGAGAAAAATTCCTTGTTTATGTCTTTGTATTGCACACATATGTGTGTGTGTATACATTCATAGACACACGCCTACATGCACACTTCACACTAGAAGAAGAAAGGATGTGGTGGGCACTGAGGTAGAGTGAGTGGAGATACAGCAGGGGCTGGGGCCTCAGTCTGATTCTCTCCCTGTACCTGCCTCAGGCCTGTCTGCTTCTGTGCGTCTCTGTTACGGGGCACTGTTGGCGTGGGCAGGCACCCTGTTGTGTGTGGCAGAGGGATTCAGTGGAGGAAGAAGTCTTGTCATTTCTGAAAGTTGAGAATAAATAGCTTTGAGGAAAGGGTGTTCATCAACTATTGGTTCTGTTTTTTAACTAGTTAAACTCAAACACAGTTATCTATTGTTTCACAATATTTTTCTTGATAAATTATTGATGCCAAATTGACTTCTCACATGACCTTCTGCGTGCTTCAGTTTCTTTCTTCCTGGTGTCCAAGTGCTGTTTTCTCAAGCGATACAAATACACCCATCTTAACAAAAACTGATGGGGAGGGGATCATGTGTCTGTTTTAAATAGCAACAAAACAGTCTGGGGTTTCGGGGGTGGGGTGAAGGGTACTTGAGAGTTAGCTGTTAGAGCCAATCTAGGTAGGCCATCTGTGAAGGCAGGGAGATAGATTTTAGGAGGAAAGGGTGCAAGGCTGGTGAATAGATCTTTGGATGTTAGGAAAAAACTTTCTTTGATCTCTGTGGTAGAGAGGTGGAAAGATAAGTGTGCCCCTTACAAGAATAAACCAATGGAGATTTGGGAGTTTGAGGGGACTAGCAAGAGAGAGTACACTTACTGAGAATTTCTAAAGTGAATCTAACATTAGTTCTGATGTAGGGAGTTGGGGGAAAGATTTGGTGAGGTAAACATCACAGATGGCTATCGTGTGGGAGGAAGTTGTAGCTTGCAGTAATGTCAGCATCTCAGCACACGGGCTGGGAACCACAGGGCTGCTCCACCCATCTAAAATAGAATGAGTAGAAGACAATGTGTACAACTGGAGATCTTTTCCAGGTTCAAGAAAGGATCAGACTGCCTTATCTAAAGGATATTATGAGGTTTTGATCTCTCATACCTGCCAGTGAGGTGGAATTACAGGCATCCAACTCTCAAACGTTTTATATGTATGAACTTCATGTTTTGCCAAATTACATTTAGACAGTGTCCATGGAAGTGAGTCTATCTGTTGCTGTTTCTCTTTCACCTGAAAATGTGTATCTCTGAATTATGGGATGTAGGTTTGTGATTCTTTATCTTTTCTAGTGAGATGTACCATTTTTAAGGTCCAAAAATCATTAGACTCCCTCCCAACAAGATTATAGTTGTATTTTTAGTATCTTTTGATGGAAGAAAACATATAATGCATAACAAAAAGCTGCTATGATTTTAGTGATGCTTTTAAATCAATTTGTTTTTATTAGTCATACCAGAATCTACATCTAGTTGAAATTTGTTATATACATATTTGTAAGATACAATATTTATTCAGACGGAATATAATACTTATAAAGATTTATTGTAATAATTTCATGACCTCACAGAGGTTCAAATTCCTCACAGAGGTTAAATTCACTCTTATAGATTGAGGTTAAATGTGTGTCCAGGAAAATTATTCATGCATGGAAATTTATCAGTGGTATTGATACACTTTGAAAGCCAAGATATAAGTATTTCAAATTTCTATTTAACAAAATCTTGAGATAAGCAGAATAAATAAAATAAATTCTTTAGAAGTGGGACCTTTGACTGTTGTTGCTTTGTTTATTCTGCTTAGTTCAAGTCAGAACTAATAGTCTGGTGCTTAATAAACTTGGCCAGTGATCATGTGTCCTTTCTGCAGATTTTTATGTAGACTATAATTAGCATAGCATGATGGATAAAAACCTTTTCTGTAGTTGGACATGGCTTCTTTGTGAGTCTTCCAGTGATTGTATAATGTTGAGCAGTTTCAGAATAGTCTTTGAATAGTAAAAAATGAAAGACGATTCCACTTATGTAAGCTTAAAATTTAGTTAGTTAGAAACATAAAACTAACACATAAAATAGGTAGAGAAAGATTCAAGTGAATGTAATATAGTGGAGAAAGCTTTGGAGACTTCAGAGTCAGAATTCATATGGTTCTGGGTTTAAAATACAGAGTCTCATTTGATTCTCAGAGCAATCCTGTAGAAACAGAGCATAGAGTAGGTAATATCCCATTTTATAGATAAGCAGATAAAAGTAGCTTCTCAAAACTTCATTTGCGCAAAGACACATAGCTGGTATGTTGCAGAGCCAGAATTTGAATCCATGTCTTTTGACTCCATGCCTAGTCTTTTTACCTCCCTCAGACACAAAATCCAAAATCCTTAGTTTGAGGTTCAAGACCATCACTAATAAGGGTCTTACCCATCTCTTTCAGCCCTTCTCTCTGCTCCCACAAACCTTAGCTCCCACGTTTGGCAGGGCCTGGCCAAGGATCACAGGTAAGGTGTCTGTCTCCTTTTGATGGCTTGCCATTTAGCTCCAGTTAAATTGTCTCTGTTCCCACCTCTTTATTCATGTAGTTCCCCCGTCAGGAATACCCTGCCCCCATCTCTCTGCTT